AATGTCACCTTAATTTTTCAAAATCCATGATTTGTCATCTGACTTTAACACCATCCAATTTTCCATCCATTTTTAAGGGTATTTTAGTCTTTTCATTTTCAAGAAAAAAAATAGAGAAAAAAGAGACCTCTCTCTTCCTTTCTCCCCCACCCGCCCCAAAAACACATCGCACGTGGCATTTCTCTTAAATTTTTCTTTAAGGTGATAAATTGAAACTGAGGTATAAGTTTGGCGTGTCTACAAAAATCTTATAATAATAAAAGAAATAGACAGAAAAAGTGAAAGCTTATTGGGATTCCAATTAGGCGACCACAAAGAAAACTTCTCTTAAGTATTAATTCTTAACTAATTGTCCTAAAGGTGACTAGACACTAAGACACGTACCTGTCTTGACATTGTCCTCCACATGAATGAACCAAAGTATGAACTATTACATAACCCTAGTCGAATTTAGTGCGAAAACATCTCCATCTGGTGCCTTGCTTTTTCCAACAAATTCAGCAAGTGGGCATCAGTGGAGATCAATTTTTTTTTCCCAATATATCTCTCTACTTTAAAATATCTTTGCAATAAACTATGAGAAATTATATACACGTACTAAATATGAATGGTAACAAAAACCAATCAGTTGGTGTGTTTGATGGAATAAATGTGCTACTCAATGAGCCATGATGACTTTTCGACGACTGTGGTATATTTGTAGGCGTCTATATTGAGCACGAATTCATATTATAGCCCGACTTGACATGTGATACAAGTTTTTTCTCTCATGGATAGTCTATTCACATTTCCACACTTAGAGTGCGAGGATGAATGGCCGGCCTACCCCATTTGTTTACACTTCCACACTAGAGATTAAAATCTTGAATTAGGTGGTAGTTAGCTATTACATATGATAATTAGGAGTTGATAGATTTATTATGGTTGAGGTGGTGACATCAACCAATATTATACTTCTGTCAATTTTATTAACATTAAGTAACAATATAGTCCATCTGCCAATAGTTGTCATAATAGAGATGGTTTGCATATATTTGTGGTTTTAAGTCTTGTAATTTTCCCAGAATGACTCAGCCTTGAGAGTTCAATTCATCAAAAATCTTTTACTCTTCTGCATATAAAATTGATGCCAATCCATTCAAGATCCACGATACAGCTGCGACTGCATTGCTTTCATGATGTCATGTTCACAAATTTGTCATAAAACCATTATGGAACTCTATTTTGGCGAATGACGAAGACATTAATACAATGGTCTAAGATTTGGTTGTTTCCTTCTACAAAAAGCAGTTTATGTAGTGCATGAGTGGGCCTGGAAGGAAACTAGCTATAATCGATAGATATCCCTCTCTCTCTCTCTCTCTTAATTATTTATGTATGATTAATTAGAAGTTCTTTTTGTTTATAACCGATTCTATACAATTACGTGTCTATCGCTCTTATCTTGTGATTTTTATTAGCAACGATCGCTCTTATCTTGTGATTTTTATTAGCAACGGCCACAACTAGAAAGTTAGAATAACTTATTTCAATAGGATTACAGAGCTTAGGGTCAGAGACCGAATTTTAAGTCTCAGACACATGGCACGGGGAATTATGCTTTATATTTCAAATAAAACATCATGAGAGAAAGAGGCTTGTGATGCAGAGAACTCAAGCTTTTGTTGGTTGCTTTTCCAAACGCAAGCCATGTGAACATGAAAGAAGCAACTCTTCTCAGTGCGAGTAATCCACTGAAGTGTACGTTCAAGGTTCGTTTGGTACGTCGGACTGTATTGACTAATTTTTGTCGGATAGTATTAATCTGTTCTGGAGAGTACTGACTGTTTATCCATAATATTATAAGGCGTTTGGTGCTGTTTCGGATAAATAGTCTGACTAGATGGACTATACTGTATTTTATATAACAGATTGGACTTTTCAAGATTATCAAAATTATAGTAGTTGTAACCAGATGGTCATGTTTTTAAAATTACTGTAGGAGCCACCTTTGTTTTGACTTTAAGTAAGCACTTTGCAATGCCATTATTAGAACTCAATTTGATTCATGGTCAGTTTTCTTGAGTAAAATACACAATGAGGAACGGAAATTCGATTTTAAATTCCAGAGGCCTTCGTTCAACACCAAATAAATTCCTCGCTATGACTAGCCAATGGTTGCTGGTTCGTAGAATTGACATTTTCGATTCAGGCAAACAAGAACTGCCTTAAATTTTAAAACAAGAACAACAGCACACAAACATAAATAAAACCCAATTGAAAAAGAGAAAATTCAAGAATTGTTAATAACCCATTTCACTGAATAATCATCTGATCAGTCTCATGGCAAAGAAACACAGACACGCGTGACAAAAAATGCATGATGAACAAAATTGCATAAAATCTGACAGGTATCAGACTGAAACTCCAACTGGGTTCACAGATACAGAGAGGCTCCGACAAATTATGTTTGAGAAAGTGAGGGAGAAACAGAGAGAGTGAGAGATGGATAACGGGAGAAAAGTGACATGTGGAGAAAATAGTAGAGATGAACCCTAGGGAGAAGAAGATGAAAAGAGCGTATGATTTTTATAAAGCGTGTTTTATTTTTCCCTATCCTTATAATTAAGCATGTATTATTTAAACCGGGGTGTGTGGATTGTATTAGTTAGTCAGGTAAGGAGAGTATTAAAAGTCCAACCCGTTTAAAATAGTCAGGTAATTAAATAATACAAGTTGACATCAAATACCTGACATGGACTATTTACTCCTATCCAAAGTCTAATACAACATACCAAACGAGCCCTACTCACTACGATGAGTAATGAACATCATCATCATCTATATATATAAAGCAAAAGGCAGAGAATGGTGAAACATTCAAAATATCAGAAAATGCCCTTAGTTAATGCAAATATTAAGAATTGAAATTATTAATTAAGTGAGGATAATATGGTAAATTTACACTTTTTAATATTAAAAAAAGTTTAAAATTAAAGGAAAAATCAGATAATTGATCCTCTTTTTATGGAACACAACTACCCATTATCTTTTTTAGTTCTAAAATAAATTTAATTTTTTCTTTTAAAAAGCCTCTCGCAGGCGCGGAAGCGCATGCAGATAGGCTAGTATTAAATAAAGTTAAATGAATGTAATTTAATCTACATAATACATAAATCTAAAGAATTAAATTCATAATCCGGGAAATTAGCGAGTTTAACCACACGATAAAAATTCTTGTCATTTTTTGGTCAATCCACCAAAATACCTATATAACCCATTTATTAAATAGGTCGTGTCCAGAAAACTTGAAATTTTTGCCCGCATACTCAGAAATTTTATCTCCACACTCTCGTATCATAATTTGAAAAGTACAACATTTGCTAGCTCAAGGTATTTTAGAACATCTTAAAGAGGAGTATAATTGTAATATTAGTTTATGTTATTCGGGTGTAGAGATGAAATTTTATGGATTTGAAATAGAAGCCTACTAAGCTAATGGATAGATAAATAGGATGGAGCGAATTGTGATCCATTGCTGGTACACAGTGCTTTGTTGTGTCCAATTTTTTAACTTGAACTCCATTGATAGGATCTTCTTTTGATTGGTAACATCATCAAAGCAATATTGTGTGTAATTTCTCAAAGGCTCAACTTAAAAGTGTTATAAGTGACATCTAGAGTTTTGTAGGATCACGTTGTAGAACAAAATGGCAACATATATTGACATTTGTGATTTGATGCTACTAATTTATGATGATAAAGTTTTGGTGGGTTTAAAAGTTCAGTGCTCAATCATACTCTTAGAAAGAAGGGCATATTAACCAAAACAAGTCCAGCTCACCACTTCATGTTTCCTCCACATGACCAACATATTAGAAATGTTAATGCCAATAGTCACATAAATGCATCATACCTTACAACAACAACAACACGATCATCATCTTCTTGTGCTACATGTACGCGTACAACCACAAACTCTTGTTTTATTTTATTTTTTAATTTTTAATACAAGTAATATATGAGGAAGGGGAAATCGAGCATAGAACCTCGGGTGCAATATAGAAATAAATACTATTAACCACTTGAATTATAAATCCCTTGCTAACTCGCATCCACAAACTTTCTTATAAGCTTCTCTCTCTTTTTTCTATGCTTGGTTTCTTTGGTGTGTGTAGCAATTTAAATGATGTCCTTTTTCTTAGGCGACATTGTATACAACTCACTGAACCAATTTTTAGTGAACTGAACCAATTTTTATATATATTTTATTTTAATAAAAATGATCCGTCCTCTTTTTTGGTTAAAAAAGTGATTTTCTAAACGCAAAAAACAAGTTTCCTAGTGAAGAAGAAGTGTGCCACGTGAAAGCATAAAAGAACGGAAAAAAATCTATATTGAATATCCGCATGATAATAAAATATCAAATGGGAATCAACAAATGTCTTTGTATTAAAAGAAAAAACAAACAAATTTATTTATAATTGCTTTTTCAAATTCTTTTAGTACACCGTACACGGGAGGGGAGAACAGAACAGTATGGCTTATTGGGCTGTGATCGGACGTCGGGCCAGCCCATTAGGGGAATTGCTCCATTAGTGGAATTGTTTATGGGTTCGATCGGGTCCGAACACTGATAGTGAAGAAAGGACGTGGCATCATTGGAATCCACATCCATTGCCCCAATCGCTTTTCTCTCTGTAGAAGCCAAAAGGAGAGAGTCTGACTCCGAAACGACGGCGTATCACAAGCTCTTCTTATGTCCACTGGGCATGCTTTAATTTTTGGCACTCTATTTTAAAGAACCAAAGTCATGACAGCGAGAAAATACATAAAAGGAGGATGAGGATGACATGAACTTATCTTGCAACTCAAAAGCACCTTGGGGGCATCCTCAGCCACAAGTCTTGCAAACACCTCAAAATCATAAAATAAAAATAATAAAAATAAATTTGAATTTAAGAATAATAAACATTCATAACCGCTTCTCTGCATATGATTAAGAATGAAGCCATTCCAACTTGAAGCAGAAATCCACTTTGATATAAAATTTAATACTGTTGACTTTTAATAATTTAATACTTGAATATTACATGGGGCGTGACAAACTAAACAGCATCCTCAGCCACAAGTCTTGCAAAGCTCAAATAAAATGAAATTTTGAATTTAGAAATCTTGGGCATACAAAGCCCTCTGCTTTATCATCTCCGCATCTTTGCCATACAACACACATATCCCACACTTTTTCACCTCCACCTCCTCCTCCTCCTCCATAAAGCCATTACGACTCCGTACGGTGAAGTCAACTTTGACCTCAGTAACAAGTTTGTAAAACGCAGTGGGGCTTTCAGCTCCCTTTTCAACTTCTTCAAAGACATTATTATACCACCACACAAACACGTCATGTGAATCTCTGCGTCCTCCTTTCGTGAGCGGATTACAAAAAGGATGGTTGACTTCATGGCTTTCACCATTACTAGTTTTGAAGTTGTACTTGCACCCAACCTCCGTATAATAATGTGTAGTAACAGCAACAAGAGATAGAGCGAAACCCAAGAAATCTGTGCTAAACCAATCACGAGGAAGCTCAATCTTTATTGAACATCCCTCACTTTTATGGCTGAACCAATTTGGAATTTCATAGCCCCAACATCTAATGGCAACAAAAGATCTCTTGCCAAAAAATTCCTGTACCATGGATATGGACATCATAATTATTAAACTCGTGAAAAAAAAAAACAACTGCTTCAAGAGAAGTGAGTTATACAGACAGTGTGTGTGTGAGGTAGAGAGAGAGAGAAAGAAAGAAAGAGAGACCTTATATTGATTTGATTGATCTGCATAATAGGAATCATATGCTTCTTCAATTTTGTCTTCTTTAAACTTTGACGACGCAATTGCCATTCGCATAATTCTGAGCTGTGCATCACCCATTATGTTGCTTCGTGCATTCTCATCCAACTTTGGGCAATGATAAAATATATGTTTCTCATGAAGCCTTCTAGAAAATATATATTCTTCCCAACCTTGTGTGATTGCAGTGCTTGAACTTGACACTGTCTTCAGCGAAATGCAACCATGTGCTTCAAGACATTGCAGCAATGGGGGGAGCTCTGGTAAAGATTCAAGCTTCGTGCACCAGCTTAGGCACAGGCGAGACAGCTGAGCAGCTTGTTTGATGCTTGCAGGTAAGCTCTTAAGGTCTCTACAAGATCCAATATCTAAGTGAGATATTTTTTCGTGAAACCAAACTGATGAAGGCAATTCCTCTATTGCTGTGTTACTTAAATTTAAGAATTCAAGATTGCATGGCATCTCGGGAAGATTTTTGAGATTTATGCATTGCTCAAGGTTAAGATAAGTAAGCTTGCCAAGATGTTGAAAATACGAAGGAATTTCAACCAAACTTTGACAGCCATCCAAATCTATATGCTCAATTTTTAGACTCCGAGAGAGATTTGGAACTTCAGTTAGATAGTTGGAGTAAGCAAGCCTGATCCGTTTTAAATTCACTGGACTCTGTAACAAATTAAACAAGAATTAATAATTTAGCTTGCAGATTATTACTTTCTAGGCCACATGTTATACAAGAACTAAAATAAGCATATATAATATACCTGGTCTTCATTCCAAAGTTGCCCCTCAACTTCGCTGTTCACAATTTCAAGGTAAACAAGATTTTGAGCAGAAAATTTTGATGGCAAAGATTTCAAAGGATATGGGAACCAGTTAAGATATCCAAGAGAATTGGGAAGATCAAGAGAACCAATGCGAGAATTGTGAGAAGAACGGACACGTAGCCATTTCAGTTGATACATCTTTTCGAAGTTTGCATGTTCCAACTCCAAGTGTAGTTTTTCACTGTTAGACAAGTCAAAGGATATGGCTTGAACATCTCCATCTCTCTGATAATCAAGAGCAAAATATAAATGTAAATATAATATACAAAATTACATTTGTAGGAATAATCTGACTTGTTTATTGTAAATGTGAATATTACTACGTACCTGGTTATTTGTCAACGCTTGATAGACATCCTCATCATTGAACAACCTACTGCCTTGTTTTCTAGCAATTGCCCTACCCATTTCTTGCACCAAATCATGCATCTCTATTTCTCCTTCTGACCGCCCTTCTTTTGAAATTGATATGAGAGACCTATCAATAAGATCATTGATTCCCGCTTCCCCAAAGAAATCACAACAATCTAACATTCTTTCTACCCTTTTCCTCAAATAGCCTTTATAAAAACAAGCTATATCAAGAAACATCTCCTTCTCATTTTCTTCTAATCCATCGTAACTTAGTCTCAACACTTTATTGATTTCTTCGCTTGGAAATCGTTTCAATTTGTTCCATTGCGCTTCCCACTCTTTTTTGCTCTTGCAACGATGGAATAAGGACCCCATAACTTTAAGAGCTAATGGATTGCCCTTACTATAACGCACCACCTCTCTTGACAACCCAGCATAATCTGTTGTTGGAGACTTATTTCTGAAAGCACGGGAATGAAAGAGATGAAGAGCTTCATCAGAACCTAATCCCTCAACATTGTATATCTTTGCAGGGTCAACTGTTTGCCCAAGTAGGCCTGTATCTCTAGCAGTTATAATGATTCGACTTCCTTGGCAAAACCCATCATGATCACCAACAAGAACTTCTAGTTGTTCTCGAGCATTCACATCATCAAGAACAATGAGCACCTTCGTGCGGCTGAGCCTATCTCGAATAGAAGTTGATCCTATAGACAGAGTGCCGATGTTTATATCTCTGTCCTTTAATATCTCACGAACAAGTTCATTTCGCAACTGATTTAATCCACCCGTTTGTTCTGATTTCTCCCTAACATTTGCAAGAAAACAAGCAGCATCAAATTTAGAGGACTGCCTATGAAATACAGCATCAGCAAGGGTGGTCTTGCCAATACCACCCATGCCCCAAATACCTACACAGCAAACACCTGGTGAATCCAAGCATAATAACGACTCGATTTGCTGGATGCGGCTTTTGATTCCAACCAGGCCCTTTAAATCACTTGACGATTCGCGATTCAATTTTGTCAAAACATCTTGAACAACTTCCTCAACAAAATCGGCCTCTGTCCTGGCAAATATCGTTATGAAAGACAAACAAAGTATGAGTAAGTATGAATCAAATGATAACAAGTAGAAATTGATACAAGCTAGAGATTTAGTATACCCTGTTTTTCTTGAATCATGAAACCCAGAAATATTGGCTGCTTCCTCCAAAGCAGCCCTCCAGTTGGCCACCTCATCCTTACTGCGCTTAAGTGGACTATCTTCAAGTGCATAAGTTCCCTGATGTTTTCGTACATCTGATGGATCTATGCGATAAAAAATGGGTATAACAATCTGTCCATGGCTTTTCTGGCATCCAAGTATATGCACAAGTTCTTTCAAACACCATGTGGAAGAAGCATAGTCTTCTGAGAAAATGACTAGTGCAATTTTCGATTTCTCGATTGCTTCTAGAAGGGCAGGTTCAATTTCGTCTCCTTTCTCCAGTCTGCGATCCATGTAGGTCTCAATTTTGTTCCGAAGTAAAGCCGCGTGAAGATGGCTGGTAAAACCATCGCGTGTGTCCTCGCCTCTGAAACTAAGAAACACATCGTGCCTTGTTTGAAGGGGAGCAGCAAAAGGAGGAGGAGGAGAAGAAGAATTCATGTTCCTATCCACAACCTGCAAAACACACAAGTCAAAACATGCATATAAAGTACAAACGTTTCTGGGCTAGCTCCAAACTGGATATATATTGATTTGTAACCTTTGTTGCATAAAGCAGTCGGTTGCAGAGACTAATAATCAGACATGGACCCTACAAAACGTTTCAAGAAAAATAATAATAATAATAATAATCAGACATGGACTTGACATGCACAAAGCTGCAAAACGATCCAGAAAAATAATAATAATCAGACATGGAAAAACGAGAAGTGAAATAATTAGCCAAGCGGTGTCGGTGGCCACAAATTCAAAGCATTATTCACACATTGAAGAAAGAAAAGGGCGCATGGGAGTGACAGCACAATATTTACACATGGGAGCGGTGTCGGTGTCTTGTTGAGCTTTTTTATATTTTAAATTTTGTCTTATTAGGCCATCTCCATGAATTATATTTCAAATATAACCTTAAAATAATATAAAATCCATCTTCAGATATAAGCCAAATTTGGCCAAATTTGTAGAGTCACATTTGACCCCTTAGTCCAATTTTAGGAATGGGCCAAATTTGTAGTGGGACCCATGCACCTGCTTTTCAACAACCACATTAAAGCATGATGGATATATCTATTTTTAGGGGAATGCTAGCAACCTTCTCTCCAACCTTCTCCTTTGGACCTTCTCTTCTTTCCTCATGACATGTGTCCATTTCCTTACACTTAAAACAATGTAACTAATGCATCAAACAAGCTAACATTTTTTTCCAAGTTTACCCTTATTAAATGTTGTCCTTCAATTTGTTCAAAAATAATTTTACAACTCTCTTACCATATGTAAAAAATTAAATAATTAAAAAGTCAGTTTTAAAAAAAGAAAAATGTCTATTTTTTTTCATAAATAAAACTTCTATTTTTTTAAACACAAAAAAATGACCTAAAAAAAACACTTAGTAGAAAGATCACATTTTTAGAAAGAAAAAAGACTTCCTTCAAAAGGAAGTTCATTAATTGTATTTTTTTAAACTACTAAATAAAGTTAAAGAGCATTTTCAGTAACAACTAAAAATATTATAAAAAAACCCCAAATAATCATATTCGAAGGGAAGTTCATAGTTTTATTTATATTTATTTATATCTCTTACTGCCTTTGGAGTCTGAGTATTTGAAAGAAAAAAAAAATCCTAAAATTCAGGCATACCAAATTTTCGATTTAAACCAATGTCTCTCCTTACTCCCTTTTGAGTCTTTCAAAAAACAAAAAATAAAACTAACGTTTTTTCTTATTTAATTTTTAAGAGGAGTATTTGAAAGAAAAAAAAAATCCTAAAATTCAGGCATACCAAATTTTCGATTTAAACCAATGTCTCTCCTTACTCCCTGTTGAGTCTTTCAAAAAACAAAAAATAAAACTAACGTTTTTTCTTATTTAATTTTTAAGTTTTATTTGAATGTCTCGTTAGAGTCTTTAAAAAAAAACGTTTTTTCTTAATTAATTTTTAACAAGTTGGTAAGAAGTTTGTAAAAAATTTGGATAAAATAAAGGAAACATTAAAATCAATATATTTAATAAGGGTAAATTTGGAAAACAAATGATAGCTTGTTTAATGCATTAATTACATTGTTTTAAGTGTAAAGAAAGGGACACATGTCATGAGGTAAGGGGAGAAGGTCCAAAGGAGAAGGTTGGAGAGAAGGTTGCTAGCATTCCCCCTATTTTTAAAAGCCCGTTTCAATTCGTAGTATTTAGGAAAAAGGTCAAAAAAAAATTGTTGATTGTTGATAATGACGGTTGGAGGTCAGACCTACACCTTCCTTTTTAAAATAATAATAATCTATATATATAAAGCAAAATGCAGAGAATGGTGAAACATTCAAAATACCAGAAAATGCCCTTGGTTAATGCAAACATTAATAATTGAAATTATTAATTAAATGAGGATAATATGGTAAATTCATACTTTTCATATTTAAAAAAAATTAAAATTAAAAGACAAATCAGATAATGGATTCTATTTTTATGGAACACAACTACCCATTATCTTTTTTAATTCTAAAATAAATTTAAAATTTTTTTATAAAAAAAACCTCTTGCAGGCGCGGAAGCGCGTGCAGAGAGGCTAGTAATAATAATAAATGTGGTTAGCTTTTCAAATCTTTTTAAAGTGTTTTCTAAAAAAAATTATAAAAAATTCTTATTCATGAGAGCTCAAACATTGAAACTCACCCTTTCTTTTTTTATAAATGTCTTCACGTTTTTAAATGTTTGGTGTAGTCCGAGCGTAAAATTATTCAGATTCCTTCAGGATAAGACGTGACACGTGAACACAAAATCTTATCAGAAATTTTGTCTCTAAATAGTATTTTAATTAAATTAAACAATATATAGTTGTGGAATATATGAGTGTTGTACCATAGTTTTTCTCAAAATAATAAAATATGAATAATCCTAAAATATAGCCATGCATAGCTGGAGATGGAAAAATTTAGCCCTGCACTATTCTTTAAAAAATTAATATTTTGGAGGGCTAAATCTTTAGCCATGAACTACATTTAGCCCTATGGCTGGAGATGGCCTTAATCACCCAAAGTTTAGGTTCTAACTTTAAATAGCTTTATAATTACAATATACTTCATTTTTATAGAAAAATATATTTAAGAATTCATTATAATGATTAAATTTTAATATTACAAGTTTAATATTTTAAGTATAACCCAAATTCTAGCAACTTAAAAATAATGAAAGAGTATAAAAAGTTGATTTTAGATAAAATGAGAAAATCAAATCAAATTCATGACACACATATAAATGACATATGAAGACATTAAAATAAATATAGATTATAGTCATGTTCATAATAAACAATTAACATTTGTGAGAAAGATCAACAATAAATATAGCTATAAAACAATTTCATAATTATAAGGTTTTCAAAATACTGGTCAAGTGACCCTCCGCCAATGATTTAGTCTATACTTTTCAAATTACTGAGAAGGGTCAAGGCCCTCCTTTGCTTTTGAGTTGGGATTTATCGGGAGGTTTCCATATACAATGACCAACAACTCTATGGGAAGAAGCTTCGAAGAAAAACAAATCCTAATGCAAGGACATTTTCTAGTGGTGGACTTCTAGTATTCCACCGTCAAATGTGCTCCATACAAAAAGAAAAGAAATACTCTATTACAGTGGAACTCCCGGGAGAAGAAAACAAAAATCCAAATTGAACTTTAACAGCAAAATAAAAGTACAAAAAAATCAAGAAAGTTAAAGGCATTTTATAATGCACTTTGATTGGTATGTCGGATTCCTAGTATGTAAATGACTGTAAACATTTTGTTATTATAATGTGGGTAGATAAATACATCAAGTTTTATACGATAGCGTGATTTACGGACTTTTGCTTTTATATTATCTCTTTTCTATAATTTTTAAATAAAAGCCAAAATAAAAAATAAAAAAAATAAAATAACAATAATGCTACGTGAACCACCTTATTTATCAATTTTAGTGACAAATGACCTGGCAACTCGTGCACATCATCTATTTTTGATTACTCATATTTTGACCTAATTATTAAGTATATATTTAAAAGTATAAACTTAAACCGTTTATAGAGAAAAAGAAAAAAAAACCCAAATAATCACTCCAGATCTGTCATGGCCTCAATTCCCCAAAATATGCCATGACCATTGAGATTCAAACCCACGATATGTTATATATGAAGTGTTAAATTTTTTGGATTTGGTTTATTTCCCAGTGAATATAATTTTCAAATGCCATTGGCTATAGTTCTTTTTGATCTTTGGTTTCTTCTGCTCTACTGTTGCCCTTTCAATACAACTCTTTTGAGATTCAAGCCCTTTCAATAGCTTCCTCGTTGTTTCAAGGAGGGCCTGTAATTATCTCAACTTTTTTTTTTGTTTACAACTTTGATAAAATCTAAATTGGTTATATAGATGCAAAAATAACAATAGACATATTCCACACTTTTCCGAATATATAATAGTTATAAATAAATAAAAGTAGAGAGGAAATATGTAGGTTGCAGCCTGATTTACCAACTTTTGCTTTTGTGTTCTCTTTTTTCCACAATTTCTAGGTAAAAGCCGAAACTGGATAATAAAATAAAAATATATCCTAGTTTTTTTTTATTTAAACTAGGATATATTTGTATTGACCCCATAGACAACAATTGTACTAGTTCAGAATTGACTATATGCACACTATAGTTACAAAAACAATCCAGCAAAATCATCAAAGCTTGAAAAATGTATAGAAGAAATAGCCCAAGCACTTTCCGCGAAGAAATTGTCATGTATCACGCGCATTCAGACAAAAGAAAATGGTATATATAAATTACAATATCCGAGACGTGGCCGACAAGCCACAATGGACGCATGAAAATATAAATTAAAGTAAAATATTACTTACATAGAAAAATTAAATTTTAAAAAATGGGGTTAACCGTAACTACCAAAGCAGTCGAGAGCAAGTCCACAGTGGTGGCTTCCCTTTCCCCAGTTTGACATTCAGGCTCGAAATCCTAAGGCCCGTTTGGTTCACGGAATGAATTTGAGGGGAAATCAATTCCCATGTCATTTCCCAAAGAATGGGAATGAAAGATTCCTTTCCCACATTTGGTAATGTTGGGAAAGTAATCGGGAGATTTCACTTTGTTTCCTTTCCCATGTTTGTTTTGAGTAGGAATGGAAAACAAAATTTGTATAATTTTCCAATTATACCCATATTAAATCAAATAAAAAAAGAATGCATTTAATGATACGTTGTAATTATAAATTGTTCATAGGGACAAAATAGTCATGAAAATTGTGCATTGAATGTTGGCACATTTTCCCAAACTTTCCCATGAGGAGGGAAAACAAAACCCAAGTTAAGAGGGGGGCATCACTTTCCCCTCTACTTTCTCATGTGCCAGGAATCCGTTTCCCATTCCCGGACTTACCAAACATGGGAAAGCAATTGAATTCTCATTCCCATGCCTCCTTTACCATGAACCAAACAGCCCCTAAGGGTTTCTTTCATCCCAATGTAACAAAAAAAATGCAACTACCAAGTCACTTCAATTATTTACAAAATTGCCATCTAAAACTCCCTGACGATCTATAATCGAATATAAATAATTGAAGCTATAATTAAAGCAAATCTGATATTTGAGATGAATGGGGTTCTCCTTGAAGAAGAAAGAGAATCTGATATTGTTAATTAAGTTGCCCCTGGGATCCTGTTAGGCGAGAAAGAGAGAGAGCTACAAAGGTCTGTTGCCTTGCCCTGCTTGTTTAGAATGAAAGAGAATAAAAAGCAGTAAATAGAACTTCAGTGGTAAGTAGTCTTCAACGTATATAGATAAAAGGGAAGTTTAAAAATTGGACGCATTGATAGACATGGGCTTAAACTAATTGGCTAAAATTTATGTGTTCCTCACTCATCAGCAGAATTCAAATCCCTATCCAAGTATTTAGATTAGATTTTATTAAAATATCGCTTGAATAAAAAATTAAATTTAAAAAAAAACTGGACGTATGGATTAAATGTAACAACCACGTCATATTAAAGTAATTATGTCAGTTCCATTATTTACAAAATTTTCATATTTTTTGGTGATCATCCTGAAAAATTTCACTAATGAAGATAAATTACAATTTTGATTTACCAATGAAACCCGCTTAAAACACTACCCTCACAATATGTTTCTCTCACACCCTTTGCTCAATATTTTTATGCACTTGTGAACTCTCTCACACTTCTCTTTCACTCACTTTGCACTTAAGCTCTTATTGCTCCCTTGCATATGCTCCTTTTAAAACATGTTTCACTTAAATTGCTCCACACACCATAGAAAACCTAAAATCATTGAATTATTTTTTGTTTATGTTTGGGCCCAAATTTAACACGCCAAAAACAAAAGCCCACACCATCTCCTAGGCCGCTTGTATCAGACGACCTCAAGCCCATCAGCACGACCCAGCCTATTAAATGAGTGGACAGGCCAAAATCACGGCCCAAAACATTAAAGGGCTTGTGAACAATAGGAATCAGAAAAAACTTGGGCCTCGAAGAAATCCAAAGTTAGGCTCAAAAGCAAATTAGACTCAAGCTGGCCTTCAAAACGGAACAGTTCCACGTGATCCCTGACTTGGAGGAGTCAATAATTTCGGCTGAAAACTGGAAATAGAACAGGAGCAGGTATAAAAGAAGAAAAAA